ACGAGGCAGTCGATGACGGGGAACGGGGCCGATCGGGCTTGACACTCTTCTTACGCCGTTCGCTAAATTGCCGTAGGCAGTCGTCCAGAATAGCGAGTCCTTCCTCTAGCCGAAGACCGTGACACTGGCGTGAGAGCTGAGGGAACATGTCACTCACACCGATCATTTTCACGGGATCACTCTCGCCCGAAGCATCAGCCTTTTCAGTGTCCTAAACCAGCCCAGAGAAACTTTCGACATGTGCGTCCATCTCTCTCTTGTCTTTAGCTAATACGCTTGCCATTGTAGCGACATCGTCACTGGAAGTTTTGACGTCCCCTGCCTCATCCAAGTTCGCTTACTACAGACGATCCGCACGGGTCAGCCACCGACTCATTTTTCTCACCATCGTTCACCTCAGCACCCGATCATTGTTCTTCAGGGTATAAACCCGGACTTAGCCCCAACAAAATTTGTCCTTAAAATGAGGACGAAATAAGATGCAAGATCGTGAAATTCCGAGTGATTTTGACCTCGATTATAAGGACAAAAATCGAGCGCGCCAGCGCAATTGCCTCTGTGTCTGATATGACAGTTGAGACACCCGACGCCACTTTGTATGGAATAAAAAATTAACTTGATTATACTATTCCATTTGACGATTTTTGTCCTTAACTTAAGGACAAAACACTATCCGGGAAATCATTCCAGACTCCGTACGGCACAGCAGCTCATGCAATAACGCGTAGGTTTAGCAAAGAGTTGCTAGCACGGTTGTAGAGAGCTAATACAGGGATACATTTCTATTTATGCTCACAGGAGCATCTACCAAAACTGAGGCCAAGCAAGGCCATCAACTTTTGGTCCTCATTTTTGTCCTTAATTTTTTCTTGTTGGGGTTAGGGGAGAGGATTCAGTCCTTCACTAGTCCCAAAGGTGCTTTCTGCTTCTTCGAAAGATCTAGTATCTCGCAAGCCACCCACTACTTCATTCCGAAACTGTTCACTATCAGCAACTCCTTCATATTCACTCAACGAATCGTCGCTCTCCTATACATGTAGCACGTCGTTGACTTTGCCTGCAAGCTCTTCGCCCCCCCCCCCCCCCGAAGACCGTCGCTCTCCCCTCTTCAACCGTCCGCTCCATGACACACTTGGTTGATCACCTCCTCCGCCACTCGGAGGTCAGGCACAAACTTTGCCGTATGCTCGGCTAGGAAACAGACATTGCAACCCACTACGTTCTCCACGTAGCCCAGCCCGTAGCTCAACCTGGCATTGTTGGCTGTACTTGCGTCGGCCTGGTCTCACTGGAATGTGCACGAATGCCAACGATCGAAAATTTTGGATATGGTGCACGTCTCGTTTGGCTCTGAAGAACATCTCGTATGGAACGCTCTGTGTCTCCTTGTTGTAGGATCGGTTCTTCATGTAAACTGCGTTTCTCAATGCCTCTGGTCAGAGAATACGATGAAGCCATGCGTGCACTATTATGGCCTTGGTCATCTACATCAGCGACTGGTGCGCTGGTGCGCCCGCTCGCACAGGCTCAACTCTGAGCTCTTCGGCCCCACTTCGCTGTGCTTTATGCCGCGCGAGTCAAAGCGGACTTGCACAGGCCAACGTGAGTACCATGAGCCCCGGCGACCTTGCTACCTGAGCAGCTACGTGATGAATCTCACGCTGAACAACCCGCAAGTGTTTGACAAGAATGGTTGTCCCATTCGATCTAGTCAAGTCAAATCCGCTGAACCGACGCGAGATGCTGCACTCCAGGTGGCAACAGTTCTGAAAAGGAGGAGATGGAGGTTTTAAAAGCCAAGGGGGGGAAATTGAGGAGGTCTTTGGAGACGAGATCCCCGAGGACGCGACGCCGGTGAGCACCATGCGGGCGTACGCGTTGGAGTCCGACCAGTACGGCAACGTGGACAAATACAAGGCGCGCATTGTGGCTCTCGGTAAGTATCTACGTCCCGGTGTTAATTCTGCGAGACGTTCGCACCAGTAGCAAGGCTGTGGTCTTTTCGACTGTTGGTGGCGATGGCAGCATAGCTAGGGCTATATGTATTTAGAGATGACATTAATCCGGCGCGAGGTTGGCGATAAGACTGTACCTGGGCTCTATCACGTGGTATTCATGTCAAGTTATTGGGTATATATACGCTGTACGCAAGCCCTTATCCGGGTCCCGTCAGTCCGGACGTGAGCGAATATTCGAGCTGAACCGGTTGTTTATAAATCAAGGAGACCAGCGCTCACGCATGGAGTCCTTTCTGAACTTCAAGTTTGAAGGAGAGACGACCGGGTACGCTTTGGGCTACGCAGACGACATACTAGTGGCGACGGACAACGAGCCGTACAAAGGGCAGTTGTTCAAGTGCTTAAGCGACAGGTCTGGCCTAAAAGACAAAGGGCGATTGACGCCGTATCTCGGGGTAGAGGTGAAGCGGACTTGCGAAAGCATCACGATCAGTCAAGGGAGGTACACACGAGAAATGTTGAAGAAGTTTGGATATTAAGACGAACATGCTCTTTGGAGCCCCATGAAGACGAACGCGAGACTTGCACCACTCAAGAAGGACGCGTTTTCCGAGACCAGCTTCCCGTACCACGAGGCCATCGATATGCTAATGTACCTGGTCATCAGCACCCGACTGAAAGTGACTTTTACGCTCGGTCAGCTAAGCCGTTTTTTGTTTTGTGTGGCTAACCCGTCTGCGAAAAATGTGGGCGCCGTGAAGAGTGTGCTTCGGTATCTTCCTGGAACTGGACTATGGGATCACCTATGTAAAAACAACAACGGGTGAGGTTGATGAAGTCGTGTTGAAAGGCCACAACGAAAGCAACTGAGCAAATGATTCTGAGCAGCGGAATAGCAGGACTGGCGTTGTTTCCTCACTTGCGTGAGGCGCTATCGCGTGGGTGTCTCGCCGACAGTCGATAATCGCCTTGTCAACGGCCGAGTCCGAGTACGTGGCCGGGTGCGAGGGCCATTGCTGAGATCAACATCCTGTAGGAGATCAACCCGATTAAGTTTAGAATCGAGATTGACAATTAGGCAGCTTATGTCTTGGTAGCTAACGCTACCGATAGCCAACGCACCCGCAACAACAAGCTACGCTGGTACTGTGTACGCGTGCAGAAGGGCGGAATCGAGCTACACAAGGTTCAAGACGAAGGGAATCCTGCAGATGCATTCTCGAAGGTCCTTGGCAAGAAGCGACTGGAGATATTGCTGGGGCTTGTGGACGTCACAGATGCAAAGTAGTCAGAGTTATCTTCAAGGTGGGTGATTCGTATGCATGTTGAGATTCAAGCCCCGGATCACAGCAAAAGTTCAAGACTTGGGATGTGGCTCCTAATGCGCTCGGACCCCTAGGGCTAGAACGAGCTCAAGAGATTAGCTAGTACTCTAGTAGATCAGGCTTCATTTTTCCTTCAAAGATTCAAAGTGCCCAGATCCAAATCCCAACATAGGTAAGTAGATAAGCTGGAAATAGATGTATGATATGATGATTAGCAATGAACAGCCGCAACATCTCGCTCACCGCCATGGCGGCGAAGTGTAGAGCCCGAAGTCGAGCAGGGTTCGCCGCAGCAGGTGAACTCACTTAGAATTTGCGGTTGCGACTTTTTAACCCCAGTGAAATTTGTCCTAGGAGGCAGAACAATAATCAGTGAGTATGAAGCATCCATACGTCTTTTGTCCTAGCACGCCCCGTGGTAGGATAAAAAATGGCCTTTTTTGTATGGGAGGATGCTGAAATTGCTGAATGATCTTTATCACAAAGCAGCCAAACATAACAATACACTTTCTCCAGTGGGTTTCCTTTTACTGTGTAATAGAACATTTTTGTTTTGTCAACTGCCAATTGGTTGTGTACTATTAATATCAAAGTACGCGAACGGAACTCCCAGCATATATGAAATGCAAGCTCCACAGGACAAGCAGGTCAATTTTATCAATTGTTATTAGTACAGTACAGGTACTTAAACTAAGTAAAGTTTCATGTATTACAGTACATGTATTTGGAAATTATTAATATGTCGTCGTCTAGATAGATTACGCCTCTTTTTAACCGCGGTAAGATAATTACATGTACAGTACCTTACGTGCAATACAGTACACGTACCGGTATTATACATGTACTATTGTACTCGTCATTTAACATTATTTTAACATGCCATTTGGCGAAACTCCTCGAGTTGGCACCAAAAGAGAACAAAGAGCCTACGTAAATGTTCCTTAGCATCTCGTGCATCTAGTGAGCTATTTGCGTCCTTACTAACATGTCCGAGCCAAGCACCTCGCAGCAAGAGCTGACGCCAGGCCAGAAGGATTACGTAGTACGGTGCTTTGACTTCATGTCCAAAGCCAAGGAAGATGGCCTCTTCAGAGGGCAGCGAACCCGGGACCTGGTTGCTGAGTGTCTAATAGTAATCCCTTTAAACTCACAAATCGCCATAGCTCAGTAGTATCAATAGAATAACGCCTCACACAAACCTCTAGCGTAAGAGATTTCCTTCAAAAAATTATCAGTGGGATTATTTCGCAACTTACATATTACAGTACTACAGTGGTACTACTACAGTAGTGGGTAGTATCGCGTAAGTTTAGCGAGATTCACGCTACTGTATCTTCAAGGAAGGACTTCAGGACACGTTTATTAATAACATGACACATCCACGATCAATACGTGAAAAGGCTTCGAGTCATCCGGGAGCGCGAGGGTGTACACATACATTTTCAGATGTACTGTATCTGCCCTCTTTTCTGATCTGCTGCGGCTGGTATCGCGGAGCGAGCAATTTCTTTCAGTGAAACATGTGAAAGCTTACATGTAAAGACAAACGTGGTGCCGTGCAGTAAAACGTGCAGTGTCGGTAGACACTCAGCACGAACTATAATCGAGCATTCTGGTCTTCTGATCTGAGGGGCTTGGTCACCAAAGTTGGTGCTGCGACGATATACCAGACATTGATTAATTAGCTCTGGTCTGCTCAAGTCGAACACGAAAAAAAATGAAGTTGTCGTCCACTGTATCGACCACGCTTTTCGTGTTCGCAGCCGTTGGGTCCCACCTAGTGTCCGGCCATGGGTACCTGGTGCAGCCGCTGGCCAAGTTTATCAGCGTCAACATCGACAAGACGCAGTATTCTTCCACCATCGACAGTAACAAACTGTTCCCTGGCGGATCATTCAACACACACCCGACTATCAACATCAAGTCTTTTCTAGAACACTACAAGAAGTCGAAATACAAGAGCTTGAAGGCAATGATCAATGATAACCAGGTGCTCGTGTCGGACGATGCTACGGCTACCTGTGGCTTCTCGTCCCCAGAAAAGACCAGCCATGGTGCGCTCAACGACACTATCTACTGGGGCAGGAACGATGATATTACGATGGACGAGGGCTTCGTGCACCCGGGCCCGTGCGAAACCTGGTGCGATAATACGCGCATCCAGCAAGACATGACGTGTATGGAGACGTATAATACGCCGTCTGGCAAGGGTGCAGCACCGATCCCGATCGACAACGCGAAGTGTACGGACGCCAAGCGTCTCACCTTTTACTGGATCGGCATGCACGGCTCGACGTGGCAGGTTTACAGTAAGTTGTACCGCGATCGAGTGTTTTTTACGGAGCTTGATGAAACTAACTGGCGTTTATCCTAGTGAACTGCGTCAACATTAACGGTGCAGCTGGAGGCGCGGACTCGAGCTCTACTACGTCTCAAACCACTACCGATACGACTTCTCCAGCAACACCAAACACCGCACCAACGGCTACGACACCAGCCCCTACGCCAGCTCCTACGCCAGCCCCTACGCCAGCTCCTACGCCAGCCCCTACGGCAGCTCCTACGCCCGCCCCTCCGACTGCCCCTACGACCGCTCCTACGACACCAAACAACGAGCAGGAGAGCTCTGCGGCCACACCCGAAGTTGAAGCAACGCCAACTCCGGCTACAACTCCGGCTCCTGTCGTGAACCCCAGTACCGAACAAAGCAGCATAGCCGACGAGGCCTCAGCTGGAGCGAAATGTTCGCGTCGCCGCATCCGCGGTTAGATGCGCAGGTAGTATCGCAAGAAACATTGAGAGAGTGTGTTGTTTCGGTAGAGCCCATCTCTGGTAATGTCGTAAATGTATTATAGAGTGTTTTTATCGTCATAATCGAGGAATGCACCGCAGATCAACAGGTAAAAGTGTGAGGGAGCATAAAACGTTTGCAGATTTTGAGGACGAATACTACTTTTTTACGAGCATAATATGTATCCACTTTTACTACGTAGTACTTCAAAAGTATTAGTATTATATATTTAATTCATAGAATTGTACGTAGTAATGTTTTAACAGCTGGAGTGTTTTTTTTTCAAATCCAGCTGATACTGTACATTTACCTCCAAAATCTGATCGGCCAATAATGCCAAACGAGTGGATTTGAAATTCAAATCTTGTCAAAACTTTTTGAATACTTAAGTAATGCTGAAATAATGACTTTTACGTGCAGTTTGCTAGCCAGCAATTTGCACGAATCCAGTCGTTTTTAGAGTGAGCCTATCATCGTTTTTTCTTACCAAATTATATGTTTTTGTCTATGTCGATTTAGAAAACTTACATATATAACAAAACTTCTCAGGTCCAGCCCGAGTGGTGCCCGGTACCGATTCTATGTAGTTTTTACCACATTCAATTGTTTTGTTTTATGTCAACTTTGGAAAACTCGTCGATGTGTCATTATTAATAAACGTGTTCTGAAGTCCTTCCTTGAAGATACAGTAGCGTGAATCTCGCTAAGCTTACGCGATACTACCCACTACTGTAGTAGTACCACTGTAGTAATATGTAAGTTGCGAAATAATCCCACTGATAATTTTTTGAAGGAAATCTCTTACGCTAGAGGTTTGTGTGAGGCGTACTGAGCTATGGCGATTTGTGAGTTTAAATCAGCAACCAGGTCCCGGGTTCGCTGCCCTCTGAAGAGGCCATCTTCCTTGGCTTTGGACATGAAGTCAAAGCACCGTACTACGTAATCCTTCTGGCCTGGCGTCAGCTCTTGCTGCGAGGTGCTTGGCTCGGACATGTTAGTAAGGACGCAAATAGCTCACTAGATGCACGAGATGCTAAGGAACATTTACGTAGGCTCTTTGTTCTCTTTTATTGCCAACTCGAGGAGTTTCGCCAAATGGCATGTTAAAATAATGTTAAATGACGAGTACAATAGTACATGTATAATACCGGTACGTGTACTGTATTGCACGTAAGGTACTGTACATGTAATTATCTTACCGCGGTTAAAAAGAGGCGTAATCTATCTAGACGACGACATATTAATAATTTCCAAATACATGTACTGTAATACATGAAACTTTACTTAGTTTAAGTACCTGTACTGTACTAATAACAATTGATAAAATTGACCTGCTTGTCCTGTGGAGCTTGCATTTCATATATGCTGGGAGTTCCGTTCGCGTACTTTGATATTAATAGTACACAACCAATTGGCAGTTGACAAAACAAAAATGTTCTATTACACAGTAAAAGGAAACCCACTGGAGAAAGTGTACTGTTATGTTTGGGCGCTGACGCTACAGTTGCAGCTATATCACCGAGCCTGAAAGTTTGTCCACAGGACGACACATGCGAAAACTACCACTTTCCAGTACACATATTCGGCGGCCCTGTGAGAGGATCCAGCGGTTTTAAATACGATACATAAACTAATGGACATGTGTCGAGCTCAGAAGGACGCACCTTGTGGGATATCGCGATTACATATCAGGACGGACGGCGCCGCCGACTGGAGTCAAGTTGCGAAACAATGATCACGCACCGATACGGAAACCTTGAGGAGGACATGAAAACTGCACTGAGTCGCATTTGATGGACACTGTGTAGCATTGGAATTCACTTCTGTGGCAAATAACACCTAAGTCATGACGGAGGTGGGAACATGCCTCAGTAATGCTCCGCCATAGACCTGGACTGACAGGCCCTTCCCAGCCTTGCCACACCAAAGTTCGGGATGTGCCTTACGCTCGGCACGGCCATGTTGTTCATGGCGAGAGCTGCGAGCGACACCTCGGTGCGCGAGTTCATCGAGCCCAAACGTTCAGGTCCCTTGAGGACCATTGGTATTACCATCAGTACCGTAGGCTAGTCCACCAAGGTCCTTCCCACGACCGCCACTCTGACGTAGAGTGTAGTCGGGTATCGCTATACTAAGCGACGTTCCGGCGGCAGACCAATGGCTCACAACTAAGTAAACGTTCAAGGGGTACCGTACCTCCGTACACTGAGTGTACTACCAGCAGCCCATCACTGCCCTTCACCGGCTTAAGAGACCCACGCCTCTCTGGGCTAAGCCTCATGGTGCGTACAGCCTGCACACCCATCACGAAGATTTAGCAGGGCATACCGCTTTTAATAGTGGCCGGCGAGGCTTCGTCCATCTGTCCGTGGCCTTCGCCACCGGACCTGGGGTCCACGGGCTGTCTTCTGTCAAAGGCCTGGCGAGGGCCATGCACGCTGGTAGTGTCATTGTCCGCCGCATCCGTAGCAGCGGGCATAACTCTCGGCTGAGCTTTAGTCCATGGGATCGGGCTCGCTGTACGCACCGGTATCAGCGGGCTGCGTGACAGCAGAAGCAACAGCGGCATTGCTCCGATGCTCCACCTCCCGAGGAAAGCCATCCTCATCGTGCCGATGTTCCCTCTCGCCGAGGAGTACCAGCCAGCTTGTGGCTGTACTCTTCTTAGAGGACGATTCAAATCGCCTCTCCATAGCTGTCACTTGCATGCGGAATAGCTGGGTGCGATCAGGACCGACCTTCAGACCGTCCATGAAGACTGTTGGCTTCAGAAACAGGATTTCCTGCCAGAGATACCACCAACGTGCGCATCGCTTGCCCGTACTCCGGCAGCTCACGTTTATCTCGCTTACACGCGAGAAAGCGTGAGCGCTGGTGGAGCTCGATGTTCGCCGGTAGGAACGCGTCTCGAAGCAATTCACACAGCTGAGACCAGGACGCAAAGCATCCAGGAGATGTCTCCCTGATGTATGCCCAGTGCTTGACACGTACACCAAGGTTGTACAGGGCGAAAGTCACCCGAAGTGGCTCGTCTGAGATGAGACCCGCCTTCATGGCGATCCCCACCACACGGACCCAGAAGTGAAGGCTCTCTCCTTCCTACCCCTCAAACGCGGCGGTCTCCAGTCTTATCAGCTTAGCCTTGGTTGCCTGGCGAGCGGCCATCGAGGTTTACAAACTCCCGCGGACATGAGCTATGAGGTCTCAAGCGCAGCCACTCGTTCGTGTTGTTTGGCAAGCGTTCCCACCGCCCAGCTCCGAAGGACATATTGTCCAAAGATGCCTCCCATCTTCCGAACAGACTCGTACTGTGAGTCGTTCAAGCGAGGAAGCTCACTTTGATCCATCGTGGCTCAAACGTAGAGCGCACCGAGGATATTGGAAGTTCAATCTACCCACGAATGTGTAGGACTGACTACGAGTGCTACCAAGTGTGACGGGGTCACACAGCACCTTGCAAAGAGAAAGTGCTTAAGGGTATTTACTACCCGAGTGAATGTTAATCCACGTGTTCCCGGCATCAGAGGAAACGGTTTGCTGCTTAGAAGAGTAGATGTAAGACTGATGTATTTATAAGTAAGCTTAGCGTAGGTTCTATTCTAATCAGAGGTTACCAAGGCCCTGACTGGCTCCTAGAGCACCTGGTACCGTGTACCAGGTGTCCACAAGAGTGACGAGTCACTCTTTATGTAACCTAGGTTACACTGGATTGTACCCCGTTACAGCACGACAAAAAGCGACTTTACCAGGAAGCTATTAACAAGGGGTAAATAGACTACCTTTTAATTATAAATAGTAGTGATTTTACTATTACATGAGAGTTGTAGGCGAATTGGGTAAACCCGAGTAGCGAATCCAGTGCGCAGAAACGAAGTGCCGAGTGTAATCGTTGACAAATTTAATAGTGACAACGGATTGACCATGACTGAAGGACGAAAAGCGTTGTTCATCAGCAATTGCGTGAGCTTCATCAGCTGCTGCCACAGCTGAGAAGTGAACTTGGTATCCCTAAACAATTCCTAAAAATGTCATTACTACTACACTAGTAGTATATGTCTTAAAAGTAGACTTGTCTCTTTTCACTTTCGATATCTGCAGTGAAATTCAGCAAGTTTTGCCCGAAGCGAGGCTGTTCAACCTGTTTGTGGTCTGCGTTTCCTATATGTACGTAAGTATCGGTGCCACGGCAAAACACTCTACATTCACGACATTGCCAGAGATGGATTCTAGCAAAACAACACACTCAATGTTTCTTGCGAGACTACGTCCCTCGGAACTACGCATCTAACCGCGGATGCGGCGACGCGAACACTTCGCTCCAGTTGAGGCCGCGTCGGCTATGCTGCTTTGTTCGGTACTGGGGTTCACGACAGGAGCCGGAGTTGTAGCTGGAGTTGGCGTTGCTTCAACTTCGAAAGCGTCCGCAGAGCTCTCCTGCTCGTTGTTTGGTGTCGTAGGAGCGGTCGTAGGGGCAGTCGGAGGGGCAGGCGTAGGAGCTGCCGTAGGGGCTGGCGTAGGAGCTGGCGTAGGGGCTGGCGTAGGAGCTGGCGTAGGGGCTGGTGTCGTAGCCGTTGGTGCGGTGT